TAATAAAAGAATTAAATTTAGTAATAAGAATAATGATACAGTGGTACCTCGGTTTAAGTACTTAATTCGTTCCGGAGGTCCGTTCTTAACCTGAAACTGTTCTTAACCTGAAGCACCACTTTAGCTAATGGGACCTTCTGCTGCCGCCGCACCGCCAGAGCACGATTTCTGTTCTCATCCTGAAGCAAAGTTCTTAACCTGAAGCACTATTTCTGTGTTAGCAGAATATGTAACCTGAAGCGTATGTAACTTGAGGTACCACTGTAATGATAATACTTGCCCAACTCCCCCCTTCTTCTTCTTCATTTGCAAACCATAGTTACTCTTTAAACAGGCTCACTATGGTGCAAACCTCATTAAAATATCAATTGCAGTGCTCTTGAGAGTGAAGTAATTACTTCTTTTCCTCTACACTACACTACTTCCCCACTACAGCTTCATCTTTCCATCCTGTTTGTCGTAATGCCCATTGTTTTTGTGCCACTATATCCTCCCTCTTAAATTTTTTGCTTGGTTGGTTGTGGTGACTTTTGTAATTGCACAGCATTTTATGTGACTATCATAACTCCAACATGCACAATTTGATACAAAGCCATCTATAATGCACTATTTCACTTACTAGCTTGGGGCGAGGGGCATTGGTGGCTTAAGATGAGTATGAATGGCCACAGTCACAAAGTTCTGTATTTTTTAAAAGAGCTGAACAGCAAAGTGAAACTTTATGGAGATGGAAACACAGCCATAGACCCATAGCGGGCATTGCAGCCTAGTTGCTGCTCCATATATTTATCATGATGTTTAATCTGGCTGTTTGTGGGCTATTTGACAATGTTGTATGTTAATATTCAAAGCTATCTCCCAAGAGTCTGGATCAAAACTATCATGCTGATGGGTGTATAAATTCTTGCACTGGTTCTCAGCAGGTGTAAGAGCAGTGTGGCTCTCGTCAATTTAAAAGAAGCTAAGTTGGTTTGCAGTATTCACAATTCTAGTCCAGTGTGTATACAATAAAGTACCTATAGTCCATGGGTCATATCAGGAATGTGAAACGGGGAATTGAGAACAGACTGCAGTGGTTTCTCTAAGGCTTAGTCTCAATAAGTTCCTTATGTTCTTCTTGCTTCATGTTTCTTCCTCCTGGCCAGAAAACTTTCTTAGTACAACTCTGTAGGGAAAACATGCTACCCGTTAGATTTATGCCCTTAGAAGTCAATGTGTTAATTTGTGCTGTGCAATGGAAAGGCTGTGTTGCCATATCGTCATTAAATTAAGATGTGCAAGCCAGATGTGGAATCCTGATAGGAAGCTTTATTGCACAGTGGGTCTTGCCTGTTGATTAGTCTTCTAGACACAGCAAGCGGGCCTCTGAGAACTCCTCTGTGTATGAAAGAGAGATCATTTGTGTGTCTTTAAATTATCTCACCTTCAGCGTGTCTGATCTTTACACCATGTGATCCAACAGTATTGCTCAGTGTTTTGAATTAAGGGTTGTCAAAGCCTTTTAAAAGTTACAGGAGAGCAATTCTTATTGGCATCTACTGGAGAAAAGCTTAGGTATTTGCCCTAGTACTGTTATACTTTTATAATATATATCACAACACTTTCCCCTTGCTCCCCCCCATTATCAACGAGATGTTGTCCTTTGTCATTGGAACAAGGAATGATACACCAGGAAAGTTTTGCTTTGATGTGTATCTAGGGCAGATTTTAATGCTTCTTTTTCTAGATTAGCTAAGATAATGAGAGTCCAGCTCTTTATCAATAAACCTGCAGTTAGTGAACATGAAGGACTTAGTTTTCAGCACAAGTTTGCTCTACAATAAAGAAGGGACAGATGACAAAGACTACGTAACAGTTGATCTTTCTTATAAATATAAAGAACACACAGCAGCAATGGGTTAATGCAAGGGCATGTTGTTCAGTCCATTATATTATCATAGCAATGGCTGGCTCAGTGTGCATGAGAATTAATTCAAAGGGCTCATCCATGCATCCATATCCAACCCGCAATATTCAGTAATCTCATTTTTGTACTTCTCCTTTGCATCTATTTGGCAATAGGGATGCATCTCAGACTCAAAACTAGTTCCCAATTTTTCCAACCTCAAGTTCAATTCTTTACATTTCCAGGTCAGCTTGGGCTTTTTTAAAATAAGAAGTTCTCATGAAAATTAATCAGCACTTAATGTGAATTTACCCAAATACATATTTTTTTATAAAATTCTGCTTAATAGACACATATTTGCAAAGCAATTTACCCTCATATTTACACATTACATTTTGTGTATGCATTTCTAGCTACACTTTACACTAGTATATGCATTTTGTACCTATTATTTGGATGCAGAACTGCATCGCAAAATTCAGAGAAGTGCGACTTTTGAAGGATGGGAGCACTTCAGTCTACACATTGCTTCAGAAAGAGTGAGTTATGTAGATTCACTTTAAATGCAAACAGAATTGAATTTTTCTAACTACTGATGCAGATGCATAAAAATGCAAACATTAATTTAAAATCAATCATAACCAAACTTTTGACTTGGTTTCATAATTTGGCAAACTGCCAATTAGGATCAGTTAACGTCACCACTGCTCTGTACACAAGGTGCTGTACACATAAGTGACATTGCCTCTTTCTACTATGGTTTACCATTTATATTCTTAATCCAATGGGCATTGCAACTAGCTACGCAAGAGAGCAGTAATCGGATTGCAACACCACTTTGCCCAATTGCTGTTCAGTGGGCAATGAGGGGAGGGGAGAGGGGACAAAACAACCGACCTCATCATGCACTGAACAGTCAGGCATATGATGGAGTTATCAAATGACCACTTTGTCTCCACGTGGCTATCTCTAGCTCATGCAGGATTCTTCTCAATACATCACATGTTGAAAGTTAGTCAGTCTTCATTAACAGTCAGGTGGAAAGGAAGTCAGTAAGCACATAAACTTAACTGGATTGTGACTTGGGCTAAATGACAGGGGAAGATTTCAAGCTGGAGTTTGCTTATATATAGATCCTTGCAAAAACAGTATGCTAAGGGTGGTTAAAATATGCCTTTTTAAAAATATATTGCTTTGCTTATTTGATATTTGATGGTGGAGCAGTTGTTGTTGTTTAAATTTACATTCCACCCTTCACCCCAAAGGAGCTCAGGGCAGCAAACAAGATCCACAGTTTAAAAATAAAAACATACTAAAATCAGTTAGTTAAAAACATGAATGAAATCATAGCAGTTATACAAAAAAAGTATATTAAACTGGGCCTCAAAGTTAGAAAGCTATAAATCAAACAGTTAAGTGTGTGTGATTCTTATAAGACAAGTGTCTAAAGTTAGAGGGGCAAATAAATGCTTTAATTTATATTCTCTTCCTACATCTCTTGGTAACATGATCATCCTGACAGTGTTGGGCTTAGAATACATTGATATTTTTTAACACTCTGTTTGTAATTTTGTTAAATTTTCAGCATTCCTGTTGATATAGTGGATTACATCTCTAGCTTTGAATGGCAAAGCTGGGCCAGCTAGATTTTCACTGTGATATCTGTGTGGTCAAATTGATTAGGATATTAAACAGGATGAAGTAAATATGCAAAATGTAACCCCTCCTCTCCCTGGGTTGACAGGCACTTCTAGAAAAAGATGGCCAGCTGGAAAATATAATGGCAAATTAAGACATTCCAAAGAGCAGAACTTTTTTTCTTTTCTTTTTTTGCCATTTTCTTATTTTCAGAGAAAATAAATAGAAATTATGCCTTCTGTAAAAATGTCCTGTTCCTCTAAGGAAAATACTTCATGGTGGAAATATTTATTTTAAAGACTTAAACCTCCATGCATGTTTTCCTTATCTGACTTGTTGTTCCTACATCTTAAATGCATATTATGTGTACACATGTGTAATTGTGTAAAAGAAAAGGAGAGAAGACGAGGAGGAGGGAGAAGGAAAGAGTGGGCGCAGCATGTATTTGAGATGTGGAGAGAACAGGTTCTCCTTGGCTTCTGGAGAGCATTAAGTTGCATTAGCCAGTTATGTAAGCCAAGTTTCTATCCATCTGTCTCTCCATTCTGCTTTTGCTCCATACTACTCTTTGGTACAGTGGAGAGAATTCAGGATTTGAACCTCAATGCAAATCCCAGCTGAAGGTTGGTTTTTTCCCTTTACATGGCAAGGAAGGTTTCCAGATATGCACTTAGGAGGTTTTACAAAATGTAGCTACCTCCATTCACCTGTTCTGTAAGCAGTATACATTAACAAGAAGCAGAGATTGACCAAGAGGCAGATTTAGGCGAGCACAACCAGTTCGGTTGCACTTGGTGCAGAGCCGCAGGGGCGCCACAGGGACCACTGCAACTATGATGCAGTTAGGAAAGTGAGAGGTGGGGTGTGCCAATTTTTCAGGTTGCCACTGAAATCTGGCACTGATTCCCCTCCCCACAACTTTTATTCATGTCCGAAATAAAATGTCGGGTCCAATGCAATAACAGCCTCAATGGACAGGTTATTCTAGTCTGTTATGGTCTCCCTTCAAATAATGTATACTGGGGATCTCAACTTTTCTTCTCCTTCTTACAGGCCAGTAAAAAGCAACCAAACACCCCACCACCACCACAATGATGTATGATGAAGTGGTACTGTCTGAGGCAATAGGAGGGGGAAGTGCTGTTACACTCAGGTCTTGCTTTGAGTGCCCCCACAGGCATCTGGTTGGTCATTGCGAAAACAAAATGCTGGACTAGGTGGCCCACTGGCCTGATCTAGCACACCTCTTCTGTGTTCTTATGTACGGGCTAAAGAACTTTGCAAAGTGGATCCCTCTACTTGGGAGAAAACTCCCCTTGTTTTACAACTTATTACAACATGCTGCTAAAATACTGTTTCATCTTGAAGTGTAGATTGCAACAAAATATGTTTTGAATTTGTCCCCAAATAGCACTCAACCCTCAAGGACCTACCACAGAGGTGGCAGATGCAACTTCTCTTTAAAGTTAGGGCTCTCTCTTCCTTTCCCACAGGATGTGAGTAACTCTTGCTGAAATCAAGAGGCAGTTATTCATATCTTGCGGTAAGAGAACAGATACCTTCCCATTCCACATTCTGGTATCCTGTATCTTAAACAATAAGTTTTTATTTATTTCATTTATTTATATAAAAATTCACTCAACCATCTACTGGGCTTCGTTTAGAAACTAATTTTATGTTTCTGTGTATGTACATATTACATTTGCCTCACTTTTTTAATGGTGACATGTTTTAGGGGTACAGAGCTTATCCAGGTTTGGTTTCTCTTGAAAGGAGGTCACTGGAGGCTTACTGGCATTTTGTACAGTGGTGTAGTAGAGGAGAAGTGCAGGGAGCCATAAGCTCTAGGACCTTTCTCAGAGCAGCAATGATGAGGTCATCAGCCAGACTGCCAAGGTAATGGATGGACCTTTCTTCTGGAAAGTTATTGAGGTGGTAATGAGGTATTCAAGATTGTTTGAGACTCATTAGCACAGAGTATGCCAGAGAATGAGAAAATTAATCAGAGACAGATACTTCATTCCTTGGACCTGGATGAGGCATGCCTATGGAAGCTTTCAAGATGAGCTGCTGCAGTTCAGTTTTTACCACACCCACTGGTTTTGTTGTATTTTAGCTTATATGCAAATGTACAGGTTGAGCATTGGTGAGGTCTTTCCTACCATTCCAACAGCCAGCCAGAAAATAATAATAATAATAATAATAATAATAATAATTTATTATTTGTACCCCGCCCATCTGGCTGGGTTTCCCCAGCCACTCTGGGAGGCTTCCACAAAGACCAAAAATACACTAAGATGTTACACATTAAAAACTTCCTGGAACAGGGCTGCCTTAAGCTGTCTTCTGAATGTCAGGTAGTTGTTTATCTCTTTGACATCTGATGGGAGGGCGTTCCACAGGGCGGGCGCTACTACCGAGAAGGCCCTCTGCCTGGTTCCCTGTAGCTTTGCTTCTTGCAATGAGGGAACCGCCAGAAGACCCTCGGCGCTGGATCTCAGTGTCCGGGCAGAACGATGGAGGCAGAACGACGGTATCTCCTTCAGATATACTGGGCCGAGGCCGTTTAGGGCTTTAAAAGTCAACACCAACACTGAATTGTGCTCAGAAACATACTGGGAGCCAATGTAGGTCTTTCAAGACCGGTGTTATGTGGATCCACTCTGCCACATAATAATCCCAGGAGGCACAACCCCCTAAAAATGGCACTTTCTGGATTTTGTTCTTACCTGGCATCTCTGTGTATTTCTTTCTCCAAAACTGTAGGCTGTCTCCCTAAATGCTACTATTGTTTTCCCACTCACACCTTCCTTGATTCCTCCCTCTGGCTGGAGGGGCACAGGGACGGGGAGGAAGACGTCTTATCTTGTGCCTCAGCTGACACAAATCAGGCCTCCACCCTGAATGCAGCAGCACCTCTGCCCCCTTATGAAGCCATCTATTTCATGGGGAACCACTGCACATGCAATTTGGACATCTGGATAAGAAACGAACTGAGGTGGTGATGTTTGACTTATATAGGCATCCAAGCATTGGCTGGAGCATTCGTGCAGGATCTTGAATGGAAAAGTCTAGGGAGGGGGGGCTCTGAAATTGGTTACACTATCACAAAAAGCAGAACACCTGCAGAAAACAAGGGAGGTAATACAGTCAGGATGTTTTCTATTTCCAAACCTTCCTCCCACCTCCATGTGTCATGGATGACCCATTGCTCAATAGCTGCACAAAAGAAGAAGTGCAATGTAGCCACCTGGGTTGCACTTTGTTGTGTGCACAGTAGCTTTCAAGAGCTGTTTGAGGAACAGAGCTACTGATGGATAAACACCCTTGGCACAGCTCCCTTTTTCTCAATTGAACTTTGCCAATTTGCCCCAGCTTTAAAATAAAAGTGCCTCAAACACCTTTGCCTGGAAAATTAACCATTGCCATGGCAACAGGCAACTAAGGCAATTCTCTCTGAAATCTTGAAGCCAGCTTTAGTTCGCACAGCAAGTCCTCAACCTACCACCCCCAAAAATCAATGGAGATGTTAGTTGAAAAGACAATAACAAATGGGATTTGCAGCATTTGGAGAGTTATTGACACTGTTAGGCTGTTTCACATGATCTTAACTTTTCCATTAGTGCACCTAACTTCTGTAGACACTAGCTCAAGTCAACATTTTTTTCTGTTTGCTAACTGCAGCAGTCTAGCATTCTGCAGCTCTTTCAGAGAATCTTATTTTCAGCCTCGATCCAAATAAATTTCTCCCTTCAGTTAGAATTTTACCCATCTGAAAGTTTAGGAAAGTAAGCTGGTCCAATACATCCATTTGGGATGTTTTATTTTTCCTTCATTTGGGAATGGAATTGGCTGGCCCCAATCCAGCAACAGGCCATGTACTGTACTTGCAGAACCAGGTTTCCACACTTGGAATACATCCACCAGCAGTAATGGTTGGCAGAACGGGGGGTGGGGTGGGGCAAGGTTGCTTCCCAGGCTTCCCAGCGCAGCCATTACTGCCAGTAACTGAGAGGGGATGGGATTGCAGGAGATGGGAAGTCAGTATGGAGTGGTTGCAGAGGCGAAGCCAATTTGATGCTCCTGCCACTGTACCTGCACCACACCAACCTCCCCACTGCCTTGCTCCTCCCCTTTCAGTTACTAGCAGCAACCTCCACATTGGAAAGTACCCTTTACATGTCTATTGTTCAGGAGCAGCCTAAGTAGGGTGCATGTCTTAGCAATTCATTGAAGTGGGCTGTAAACAGCAAGAGATTAAGGACCAATTACCTCCGAGCTATTGTGTTCATGTTTCAGCTGTGATGTGCTAATAAATCAGGAGTGAGCAACATAACCACCCAAAACTGGGCTTACAAAGAAAACATTCCATTCATTTGGAACAAAGAACACTATCATATCTCATTCATGCACAGTTAACAACCTTGTGTTTAGCTTGGTCAACATTCTTCACTCAGCTACATAATATCGTCCATGCCTTTCCTAGCCCTGGTTTATATGAGATTTTGTTTGTCACTTATTGGTCCAAATCACTAGAAGAGAATGTTACCCTTCTCCCTGTTCTGACAGTTTCTCCCTGAAACTTCCTGAATGTTTTCTTGAACCTTGGGTTATTTCAGGGATAAGGAATTGTTAGCCCATGAGCCAAATTCACCCACAGTTCTTTTAGATTCACCCCATATTCTCCTGCCTTGGTCCAACCCCCTGGCATGGTCCCTCCTCCCTGACTTTGGTTGGAAAAAATTGGGTGGTGGTGCCACAGATACAAAAAACTTTATTTCATTAGTTTTTATTTCATTTTTACTTTTGGATTCCCCCCCCCCCAAAAAAAAGTTGAATATTTTTATCCTGACGGAGGACAAAAAACAAATTCCTTTTAAAAAAATTACTAAACTGCCCTTCATCCAAACAGATTCCATGGCAGTGTGTAACAATAATGAAATATAGAAAACAAAACCACCTCACAACAAACAAGCAAACAAACAAAACAAACAATCCAGTGAAGTCATTGTGTGAGTGGAATAGCTTCCATTCACACAGTGGAACTTTCCCTCTCTTCATGACCCCTGTCCAATTTGCCCTCATACCACCACTCCCAAATCTGCTCTGGAGCGTTAGGGAAATTCACAGAGCAGATTTATGGGGGTGCATAGGAGAGAAGAAGGAGGGGAAGCTCCATTGTGTGAGCAGAAGAGCTTCTGCTCACATAATCACCTGCTTGGGTGCAATCTTGCAGCTTTTTGCTTTTTTTGTAAATAAATGCAAATTTAAGCTCTATAAAATGAGTAGGCAAGTAAGCAAGCCTTAACCTAGCATGGGAATATATATATATATTTTAAAAACCAAATAGATCTTTCCCCAGGATAAAAATCATTATTTATAACAACTCAGCATCTATCTATCATTGCTGCTGCAGGAAGGGGTCCCTAAGGAACCCCCACAGTCTTGCTTCAATATCTTGACACTTTCTGCAGCTACTGCTTGGCTTTATTTACTGTAACTGACCCCAGACTTTCCCTGCCTCCTTACTGGCCACAGAATTTATTTGACACTTTTCATATCACTTCATTTCATTAGTAGTTTGGGATGGAAAGTTTGTAAAAGAGCAATAAAAAAAGCAGGGAAAAGATTATTCCTCCCAAAGAAAATGAAACCCAAGTCATTTAAGCAAGAAGGAATTGAGAATTTGGCTAAATCACATGAGGCATATGCTAGAACCATTAACACTAGGCTAAAATATAACTATATGTTTCCAGTTGTGCATGTCTGTCTTCAGGATACCATGACAATGCAATGCTTTCCTTGTTGAAGATTATGAAGGGTGGCAACCGCTCCTTATTGCTCCAGGTCTCTTCACCTAATCTAGTGCGTTTTTCTTAAAAAAATGTTTAGGGGTACTCTCATTTTCCTACTGATATTGAAATACTGCCCCTCAATGAGGCCAAACTTAGATTCACAAAATGTTTAGGGGTATGCGTACCCCTGCGTCCTCCCAGAAAAAAGCACTGACCTAATCTATCATTGTCAGTATTTTTTAGCATGACAGATGCTGACATGAACATGGTGATGGAAAAGGCAGGGCTTACCATTTCACATTCACGATTGAACCAAGGTACGTATATTAAATAGAGTCTTGTGATGTGTGGTGAACATTGTACAAAGGACATTGTTGGGTCCACTATTTTATCTTGTATAATTTTTGGTTTCCCTAGTTCTCTTCTGATCACACACCCACCCCCCATTTACACAGGAACACAGGACTGCTTTTGGCAAATCAGACCAGTGGTCCATCTAGCGTAATACCGTCTGCTCTGATTTCCAGGGTTCCAGGCAGGAGTCCCTCCCAGTTGTATCTGGAGATGGTGGGGATTGAACCTGGGACCTTCTGTATGCAAAGCAGATGCTCTGCAACTGAGCCACTGCTGTTACCCGACAAGCTTACTTCCTTCGCAGATGCTGTGCAGATCTTCAACATTCTGAAATGAAATAAATCCTTAGGACACAGCCTGGAAGCTCTGGATGTAAATCAAAAGCTTGCACATTAAAGCCACCAGACAGGGGTGAATATGTATCTACTTCACTCATTATTTGCACATGGAAATCCCAACATCACGATTTGGGCCGCATGAGAAACAGAACGCACTGAGTAGCCTTCTGAGTAATTTGATTTCCTTTCATTGATCTCACAACCCATTTGAACAAGACTGTGAAGATGACAGCACTGTTGAAACCAATGGCATCATCAGGTCTGCTGATTTAGCTGTGCTTATTATTCCTTTTAATAAATATAGACAGTTTTCATTATAATTGGGAAGTACTTAAAGTAGCATTAAAAGCCTAAGCCTAAAGTGTTTCAGAGAACCAAATATATAAAACAGTTGTAATGGACTGGCTGGGTACAGAGGAATGGCGGGAGGTACCAACTGGGGAACCCCAAAGAAAACCCCCAATGGAAGAAAGGTCCGAGCCCAGGGATTGATGGTGGGATGAAGATGAATGGTCAGAGGGAGAAGATTGGGAGGAGGAGGTGTTGGAAGCTGAAGAGGTAGCAGGGTTTAGCGAGCCAGGAGAGTCTGTGGCAGAGAGAAGTCCAGAAGCAGAAACAGAAGCAGAAGCAGGAGAGGAAGGCCAAGAGACAGAGATGATCAGGCTGGTGAAGAAGCAAGGGTGTCTCCCCTTCCAGGAGAGGTATGAAGCAGGAGGAGCAAAGGCAGGCATGCTAGCTAGTCTCAGTTTGCTTGGGAAAGTCCCCGGAAGAGGAGCAGACTTAGGCAGCTGTGGGAAGGTGGGGACCTTCAGTCTCCACAACTTGCCTCATAGGGGCAAGACCTATTGAAGAAGAGTTGCTGTGCTCGTTAGGCCTGGCACTCCCAAGCAGATTATGTTTCTTCTAATAAAGAGTTAACTTCACTTACTCAGTGTGATTTATTGCTGGCTCACTCCTGGCAACAGTTAAGCTTTCGTAAGTCTCAAACACTATAGGGTCCCTCCAGACATCCTTGTCAGTGCATCCATAATAACTTGTGTGCACAGTTGGATCAGGTCAGCCATACACAAGTTCTCTATCAACACTGATATACTTGCAAAAGTTTTTGGATGGACATACTGCTTCAGTTCCAGTCACTACATACCTGCTAACTTCCTACTGAAATCCTGTAACTTTTCAAAGGGCAGGACCAATGGTCAGGATTATGGGATTTGTAGTACAATACATTTGGAGGGTGTCAGATTGTGGAAGATTATTCTAAGGAAATGTAAACTGCTGGATAATGATAAGGAATTACAATGCACATGGCATTAAATTACCTGTTAATCTGACTATAAACTGGCTGTATCACTATCAAATTGTTACCTTGGTATAAAATCTTGGTCTTTGACAAATCCCAGAAACCAAAGCTATTCTATTTATCAAGTCTTATCTTTCTTGAATAGCCTTTATTAAAGCCAAGCAGATAAAGATTAAACTAATGCTAATTGATTCCATTCATAAAGTTCATAGATGGCGCAATCAGTTGTGATCCTAACAGTAAATGTAGTGTTGAGATTGTTAAGAGCATCTGGGTTCTGTTTGTACATGTAGCTATATAAGGCAGCAAAACAACAAAAACAACCGGTAGGGATAATATAATATAACCTAATCTGTGAGCAAATGTAAAATGGAATTTTGTTTTCTGAATATTCAGCATGAGAGTGCCTCTGTACAGTGGAGGCAGATTCTGATTAGCCCAAGTCTTCAGGAGTGACCCTTCATTTCAGAAGAAGTTATTTGCACTGACTACTTTTTCAAGAAGTTGCTATGCCTTTCCTCTGAGAATTTAATATTTTATTCCTCAGAGCTTCAAAAAGGATAGTTACCCCTAGATGCTGTATTGTGTTTTTAATATTCGATTGGGAACCACACAGAGCAGCTGGGGAAACCCAGCCAGATGGGCAGGGTAATAATAATAATAATAATAATAATAATAATAATGGATTATAATGCTCTTGGGGCAAAAAGAGCTATTGGCTAAAATGCCTGTGATAAACAAACATGGGGTGAGTGAAAGCATAATGGCAGACCCTGCTCTAACACAACTGCATTCACTAGGCTAAGTTCGCAATCCCTGTTCATATAAACATACAATATGTGTTCAGGGTTCCAAGCTGCACTGAAAGTTTGTTCATACATGATGCCCGTACTCAAAGTCTGATAAACATATGCAGTGCTTTTTTCATATATATATATATATGGGTACTCTCACCTTGACTCAAGAAAATCACCATTTTATAGTTCAAATTGGGAAAAATAGATACAGTAAATGGACAAAAGTACAAAGATTCACAAAATGTTTAGGGGCATGCATCCCCCTGCGTCCCACCAGAAAAAAGCACTGAACATATGTCAATTGGGGCAGGACCTGTCATTGTGTTCCCATTTAACCCTGTGTAATGTATCTGAAGAGAGTTTTTATCACAAGTTTACATATAAACTTACATAAGTTTATTGTGGTTCAGGGGTACTAGGTATTAGGAAAGGAATAAAAGCAAATAAACGCTAAACTTACTAAAACATGCCGTTATCTAGTCAGGCAAGCTTGCAAGCTTTAGGAGAGGACTTTCACAGCCGGTCACACAAAGGTTACTGATTTACTCCCTATGCCCATCAAAGGGGGTAGGAGAACCAAAAGAATTAGATACAGGGAAGAGAACCTATGCAAATTCCCCCTTATAGCAGATAAGTCATCAGCTGTCAACATCTTTAAAATACTTTTAAAATACAAACTTTTAAAATACTCTTTCCTATTTTCTTTTATATAACAATGATAATAGAGCAATATAGTATGCAACAGGGGTCAGCAAACTTTTTCAGCAGGGGGCCGGTCCACTGTCCCTCAGACCTTGTGGGGGGCCGGACTATATTTTGAAAAAAATATATGAATGAATTCCTATGCCCCACAAATAACCCAGAGATGCATTTTAAATAAAAGGACACATTCTCATTCTACTCATGTAAAAATACGCTGATTCCCAGATCATCTGTGGGCTGGATTTAGAAGGTGATTGGGCCAGATCCAGCCCCCGGGCCTTAGTTTGCCTACCCTTCTTCTTCTTCTTCTTCTTCTTCTTCTTCTTCTTCTTCTTCTTCTTCTCCTCCTCCTCCTCCTCCTCCTCCTCCTCTTCTTTGGTGATCACTTGTAGCCGAGCAAGATTGTCTTCCATAAACACGGTTTTAACAATGAGTCTGTAAGTGACTGTGGAGGCCAATTCTGGATCCACATGTCCTTCCTCAGTGGGGATATTGGTTCCCAGGTGGGAGTTGATCATGGTGTGGATTTGCCAAGCATGCCTTCCTCTTAGCACATTTCTCCCTTGCGTCCTGAGTTTGAGTGTCTTCAAAGCCCATGACACTTTGGAAAAGGCTGTTCTCCAACTGGAGCGCTTGCAGGCCAGTGTTTCCCAGTTGTCAGTGTTTATACTACATTTTTTTAGATTTGCCTTGAGACAGTCTTTAAATCTCTTTTGTTGACCCATGGTATACAACCATGATATAGAGCAGGCATCCCCAAACTCAGTCCTCCAGATGTTTTGGGACTACAATTCCCATCATCCCTGACCACTGGTCCTGTTTTCTAGGGATGATGGAAGTTGTAGTCCCAAAACATCTGGAGGGCCGAGTTTGGGGATGCCTGATATAGAGCAATACAACCAAAGGTATCTCCTAAATAATTGCGTATAGGATTGCAATTGTATCCCACTCACTAATATGGGCCACATGTTAGCTGTGATTCCTGTATTGCAAGGGGTTGGACTAGATGAATGTTTGGGTCCCTTCCAACTCTACTGTTCTATGATTCTGTTAAACAAATGCACCTATCCCAAAACAAAACTGGTTCCATATCAGTAATGTACTGTTTTGCTTTGATGGTTTGTGGTCTGAAGGTAAATAAGTCATTGAGTTTCAATAGCATCTGGTGCGGCAGATGGGAAGGCACAAGATATAAGGTCCGTCCTGCATTACAGCTTATTGGTGCTGTGTCTCCTCGGAATTAGTGAAGTACCTCCTCAGGACATTGATCAGGCTCAGTTTCCAGTAGGAGGAAACCCTTGTGTGCAGGAGAAATTCTACTGGATTCAGTTTGGTGGTTAAGTTGCTCACGAATTGACCCACCCACAGGGAAAAAGCAAAATCCAATCTTTTAATCTGTTTTGCATTGGCTATGGCTATTTGACAACACCCCCCCCCTTTTCCATGAACCTAGTTGCACACCTATAAACCATATTCTCCCCCTTGCCTTTATTCTCAGGGAATTGGGAAAAACTAGAGGTGGTGGGAAATCTTGATATGGTAAACCCATTATTAAGTCATTCAGCCTCTCTTTTTTACTCTTGTGAATTAATGGCAAATATTTGAGGAAAAAAGACTTTGCTCAGCAAGAACATTGGTGCTGGCAAGCGCCTCTTGCTCAGTGGGAGACCTCATATTATAGCCTTCCGTGCCATACAGTTAGAATTCCAAATTAGTAGAAAGGTACAATTTTGCTTTTAAAACCTGAAACAACCCTCACTTCATTTTCTACAAGTAAAATACTGCACACACATCAGACTAATTTTTGCATATATTTACATAATTTGAAAACTTTAATTCTATATGCAGCATTTTTTGTGCCTCCCTTTCCCAAGTTCAGTATTTTTTATTGGCTATTGAGATAGAGACAGTGACAACATAAGGACGTAAAACGAATCTTGTTGGATCAGGCCCAAGGACCAGCACATTATTCTCACAGCGGCAACTGAATTTAAGAATGTAAACATAAGATGGGGGAAATGAGAAACCCAGAGAAAATGAAAATTAAGTATTCACCCAACCATAGTGAAGAGGGGCCTACATTTTATCCTATCCTGCCTCCCAACTTGGAGGAAGTTTGGGATTATTTCCTTAGTAT